CCTCGCTGTCAAGTGTGGGCCGTTCTACGAATTCGCGCGGAGCGGCTCCACCGTACATTGGCTTAGACGTTTTCTTTTTTACTTCGAAAACCACAGCGAATATCTCAAAATGGTATCAGACTCTTTTGTTCCCTTTGACCCATTCTACGCCCCCAATGCGGCTTCAACCTTATTTCTGATACACCCTTCATAATAATTCATCACTTAATGTACACAAGAATTAAAATTACATGTACAATTGAACCCTACTAAAGTCTCATAAAAGTCAATCAACGATATACAAACGTAACGTTTCGGCTTACTAAGCCTTCTTCAGTGTATCTTGCATCCAATTAATTAATAACCGTATTAGTAAATATTAGATCCACATACAATCAGATATCAGTCCTAACGGACATTTCGTCAAAATCTTAAAATAGGTCAAATCCATTACAGTTCAAAGGAATAGCTCTTGGTCACAGTTTGCCCGATAGTACTTCTCATTTTTGTAATTCTCCAAATTCATCGGTGGACGTCGAGAATTGAGCTTGTCGCAGACTCACACAACCATTGAGAGTTCATTATCTTTCTGTATTATATGATATTCTAAATATAATAAATATGTTGATTACTATCATGTTCATGTAATAAAATAAAATTAAATTAATTCAAAACCTATGCCAACTTACGTCTATATATCTAAAATACTATCTATGAAATCATAATGTAAATTCATTAGAAAAGAAAAATCTGACAAGTTAAGTATTGCTCATTTGAAATTCAACTGATCGTTGTGTAGGTTATATAAATAAATCTATCTGTTCCCAATGCATTGTCGAGTCTGTTCAAACTGTTACAATTTTTCGTTCACGAATGTCAATAAGTATGTTCGAATAAATTTTGTCTAATAATTCAGTATCTTTCATTAAATTCAGTCCGTTTTTTTGTTCTTTAATATGTATCATTTCTGAAATGTTCCTTTTCTTATAATTCTTTTCAAAATCAAGAATGCTAACTTCTTCCCAATTAAAATCATGATTAGTTTCATTAATGTGTTTAGAGATTACCGAATGTTTGGATTGGTCTAATTTTATGTTATTACGATGCTCCTTAATACTTGTCTGTAATTGTCTTTTTGTTTGCCCAACATAGAACGCGTCGCAATTGTTACAATTTATCTTATATGTAACATTATTGTTTTTATCGTGTTGATTCCTTTGTAAACTTTTATAAATCTGTTAAGCTTGTTAGTACATCTGTAGCCTATCATGTTATTGGATTTATTAACAGATCTCGAAATTTTATTACTAATCGTTTTAACATAAGGGAAAACCATAAGTTGTCTTAATTCCATTCCGTTAATAGATTTATCTAATGTGGTTTTTTTATATGCCAACGCTTTTATTCTTTTATTAATACAGTCAAATATAAAATCAATAGGATATCTATTCTCTTTCAGAATCTGTATTATTAGTTCAATGTTCATGATACCGAAACTTACATGGTTGTTAAAAAGAATCCAGCAATGGCTATAAAAAGAAACCTAAATAATACGTTTAAAAAATGGCATCAAAAAAATTATATCAATGATAGAGAGTTGTGGAGCCTTTAGTCTAGTGATTCCCTTTTATCAAAAGCATATGTTTTACCTAAGATACATAAAGTTGGAGTTCCGTTTAGAATGGGGTGATCCCGATTGACCACGGCTCGATTGGACACCACCAATCACAGCGACCAGTGCTTAGCAGCTTTGTAGTCTCAAGCGCTGTGAGTGGCTCGTGTTCAATTGAGCCGTGTCCAATTGGGTGTCAACCGTTTAGAATTATTGTTTCCTCGGTCAATACAGCGCTTTATCAATTAGCTAGCTTTCTACAGGACATTATCTCGTCGAATATCCCAGTTGCAAAAAGCAAAGTAAAAAACAGTTTTGAACTATCTGGTAAATTATCTGGAATGATGGTTGACACGACTGAGAGTATGATTTCATTGGATGTCACTTCGTTGTTCACGAATGTCCCGATAGACTTAGCGATTGAGGGACTGGAAAGAAGGTGGGATTCCATGGAAAATGCTACGAAAATCCTGAAGACAGAATTTATTAGTGCAATAAAATTTATATTAACATCGACGTATTTTACGCTCAATGGCACCATTTATAAACAAACGTTTGGCACGCCCATGGGATCCCCCCTTTCTCCAGTCATATCTAACATTGTTATGGAGGACTTGGAACAGAAAGCTCTTAATGTTTTACATACTCGATTATCTTTATATGTTCGTTACGTTGACGATGTTTTTATGATTGCTCCAAAAGACAAAATATCAAAAATTTTAAAGGTGTTTAATGAACAACATAATAGATTGAAATTTACAACTGAACATGAGGAAAACCATAGATTGAATTTTCTAGATCTTTCTGTCATCAACAAAGACAATAAAATTATATTGGATTGGTTTCATAAAAAAACGTTTTCGGGCAGATATTTGTCATATTTTTCGAATCATCCTACATGTCACAAAATCGGAATGATTTTCAGTTTAGTTGACAGAACGATTCTATTGTGTAATCCCATATTTTTTAAGAAGAACATTGAACTAATAATACAGATTCTGAAAGACAATGGATATCCTATTGATTTTATATTTGACTGTTGTTGCGTACGAGGCCTTCGAGTTCCCCCGTAACGGCAACGGAAACTATTTATTTTTTTGGTGCGCCGGTCCGCGGTCTCTCGTGG